TATTGGAACTGTAGCAGTCTAGTCAACCTAAGTCTTTAACAGATATCATAGAAAAGTCCTTTTAATTATTTATAACAGTCACTGAGCCTGTATAATCAGTCACTCAGTCACTTACTCATTTAGTTAATCACTAAACTTGCTAGAGACAGCACATCTTACATAAAATATTTAGAAAATTTGATGTTTCTGAAAATGCAGTCTGTTCTTTAGTCTCTGTTAATTTATGTTTTTTGATCATAACTTGTAGTTGCTTTTCTATTACGTTATAGGAGCTCTTATAATAAAAATTCAGTCTGTCAAAATGCTACTTAAATATTTTATTCTCTACTCATACTCATTTTAATACTTTCCCTTCTACATATATAGCACTAGATTGTAACTTCATTTCAAAAGTTCAAGAAATTATCCTGTCACTTGTTTTTGATACATTTTAATTGGGATGTTTATCATTTTATCATAATATCATTCAAATAATTTGTGAATAATCCTCTTCTTCTGCGAGTCTGCCATGTTATAATCTGCTTAATTTGGAAGCCACTTCTAGCAGGTTCCTTCACCTGCTTCATTGTCACCCATGGCCTCTTCCAAATATTTATTATGGCATCACAATCTTTCTCCTAACTTTACTGCTTGATCAATGAACAGAAGTTGCCTGCATAGCAGTGGGGTAGACCACTTGTAAGGGATGGTGCATTTTCTCCAGTTTCTCCTCTGAGAAGAGTGGGAGCTGGGAGGAAGCGAATTAGGGAAACACACTTCCAAGTCTCATTTGAAGCACAGGGAAAACAAAATAATTTTTTAGAGAAGCTGCTGTTTCAGCAGCAGGCTCAGATATAGACTTCAGACACAAATTCTATGACCTGCTTTGGTTTCTAGCTTTGGGGTGGGTTTTCCCAAAGCATATTCCTTATGGGAATGGATATATGACTGTACATCATGTTGTTCCCATGCTCTCCCATATAAATTATGGGTTTTTTTAAGCAGTTCTAGCTTTGTTTAGATTTGATTAAATTGAAATACAGTGTGCATATAAAAATGTTACCACGGGGCATTCAGATACAGAGTGTATTCAGTTGGGCTTCATGATATTCAGCATGTGCACTGAGAGCATATGTGGTAAAAAGAAGCAAAGAAAAGATGAATATACCTTTCAGACATTGAAAACACTGAAATTCACTTTCAATCACCCATCGTTTGTACTGTTAACATTCCTATTTATATGTTTATGAAATGTATAAATTTATAAATTATCCATATTAAAATTGTACATTCAGATATACAGAAAAGACAATATGAGACATTGCTTCTGTTTGAGTTTTACAAAATTTAAGCTAATGTATATTTTTTTCCTGTTAGGTCTTATATATTAAATTAATAAGTTCAATATATAAGGTAGATTTTTTTTCTTTGTTTTTTTCTTTCCATTTTTATGAATTTAAAGATCGTTTTGTTTAATTATATTTTTGTAGTGTATTTAGGTGTTTTTTTTAATACATTGTATCTTGAAATAATTTTCTTTTAAAAAATATTTTTTCCTGTTACATACCATTTTTCACAAGAATTACTTCCAGGGAGATTTGTACAATTAAAATAACAAAATAATAATAATAATTAAATGTTTGTGCCTCCTTTCCATCCACATTGGACAAACAAGCCAGGTAACAATAAAAATAATGAATTAGCAATGTATGAATTAAGTAAAGTACTTAGTTTAAATATTGTAGGATGAGAGCTGCATTAAGTAGTTAAATATTGTAGGGTTAGGGTGAGAGCCAGGTTAATCTATGGTAGCCAAAAATCAGGAGTCTGGTAGTATTTTTTCAGATTAACAAATGTTATTAAAAGGTATGAGCTTTCATGAGCTACAGCTCACTTATCAAGAACCCATTGACAAATACAGTGGCTTTTTAACATATTAAAATTGTTAATTAATAAGGTACTTGTAATCTGTCTCATATGTAACTTGCATTTGCATAACCACTCTTTCCCTCCCACCTCGTCCCAACTGATATCATACATCTGTTTAGCCACTCTGTATATCTGATGAAATAAACTGTAGCTCACAAAAGCATATGCCTTTTAATAAAATTTGTTAGTCTGAAAATGTGCTACCAGACTCCTTCTGAATTTTAAATAGACACATAAACATGAGAATAATCTTTAAAAAATCAAAAGTCCTGTTTAAAAGGGAACACACTAGTTCAATTCTCCAGATCACTACAATATTGTTGAAGTCAAACAAAGAATCAGCTTATATTATTTTCAGCAATGGGAACAAAACATTTTTTAAAAATTTAATGGTTTAAATGTTGTATTCTTCACTGGTTATAACATTAATGGATTGCTAGAAATTGGTGATACTGATATTCAGAATAAAATAATTCTGAAAAAGCAATCTGATTAAAATTTATATGTATGCATAGTTTTACTTTGACCTATATTTTGTAGAGAGACTTTTAACCCAAATGTACTTTCTTGCAATCTCTTATATATACTGTTTCATATACTCAATTTATACATAATTCAGGACAAAAGATATTTTGGATTTTAAAAAACCTTTTTCTGTATGTTTTTAAAGCGAGAGCTGCTTATTGTTTTCTGTGATCCTCAAGAACTGTAGAACATGGCACTTGCCATCTGCTGGTATATTTTAGTATTTACGATAAGTGAGCAATTTATTATCAAAAGATTACAAGTACCTTATCAATTAACAGTTTTTAATGTGTTAAAAAGCAATTGATGACATAGGTTTAATAAAACTTTTGCAGTTGGACAGTGAACAATGCTGGGATGGTGGGGTACCCTGATCCTCCCCGTTGATGTCTGGGTTATGACTGTGTGCTTGCTGTTTTTCTGTTGTAGTATCTCCTAGAAATGAAAAGTTTAATATTACCCCCTGAACATATTTTGAAGCGAGGCGACAGTGAAGCAATCGCTTATGCTTTCTTTCACCTTCAGCACTGGAAAAGAGTCGAGGGGGCACTGAATCTCTTACATTGTACGTGGGAAGGCAGTAAGTAATTCACTTTCTTAGAAGCATATGGCAGGAAGTGAATGCCGAATGCTTTTAGCTAATCTTTGATTATAACATAATATTGGCTAATATGCACCTAAGATAAAAAGTCCCTTCTGCTCAGTTCAAAATGCTGTTCAGTCGTACCAATGCTGTAGTATGCTTTTAGTTGCAACAGTGTAATAATTCAAATACAGATTTAGCATGGAGATGGGGCTCTAAGTAATATAGGATTGATCTTGTTTGGACAATAGGAGAATATTGTCAGTAAGTCAGGAGACTTTCCTTAAGTTTATTCAGTTAAATAGGGACAGATCTGGAAGTCAAGGTAGATGCAGCTGTTCAGCCTAAATGCCTATTTTGCAGAATGATTGCAGTCCCACAAATGGTCACCGCTCCTAAGAAATATAATGAACAATTCAGTGCCAGACACTGGAAGACTTACTGGAGGCTGCTTGGTAGGTAGCAGCATTTGACCAACTATGAGCTTTGAAGTTAAGCAGCATTGGACTTGGATAGTTCTTGGATGGAAGACCTCCTGGGAACACCAAACCTGTAAAGCAGACGGAGAAGTTGAAAAACATTATGGGGGAAGGCGATTATAATCCAGTAATGGGGAAAGACATAGTCTCATAGCCTTTCTGTTTCCAAAAGGTTATTTGGAGTGCACGGCAATACAAAAGTAGCACCTGTCTGCAAAAACTTTAAATCAGCCGTGTTTTCTTCTGGAATTGGGAAGGATTGAACCTGAAGTGCTGCACAGCCCTAATACAAATGTTTGCAATATTGCTCTAATATTTGCATCAAATAAATATAATGGAACATATATAATAGCACATGCCTGTGGTTACATTTATAATGCATCATTTCTAGCAGAGCAGTTGAGGAACATATTGTGTATGACTGCAATCCCAGGTCCTCCTGTAGTACTTATGGCTTCCATTCTGTGCACATCTGTTTCTAGCAGCTGTTAGCTTCTTGCACGTTCCAGTTATTTTTAAAGATTTAAAATGTATTATCCTGGTTGTTATTAAATAGAAGGCTGCTATACTGCAGAATAAAGCCTTTATCTCTAGTGACATCTTTATTTTTAAGAATTCCATGGAGCCCACATACACAGAAGTAAAACAGTGGCGGGTACAACTCGTTGTTCATTTTGATATGCACCTAGAAAAAAGTTAAGGGTGTAAAGGGTTTAGATGAGGTAGTGGTGGTTGCACTCTGTATCTTGTCTTTTTTCTTTGGTGCAGGTATATAGATGTTTGTTGGCTTGTTTTTCTGAGTGTGTGTATGTATTTCTGTAAGTGTTTCCAAATGGTTTCTGTAAAATATTTGGTAAAGTAGAAAACTTTGAATTCAAATTGGGGGAAGGGGGAGTTGCATGCATGCATATGTTTTGGAGCTCAGATCACATTTCTGTCTTACACTAAAATTATTGGATAAGTTTTTTTTTCTTTTAACTTAACTAGTTTGGCTTCTGAGAAATAAGGTGCTTTATAACTGGATCTGCTAACCATGGTAACTGTTTTATAAAAGGGTGACCCACTTCCCATAGCAATAATTTTGTGAGAACACCTATGAAATCCTCTTAGAATTCCAAACATTCCTATCACCCCTAAAAGACTGGGAGTCTATATACCTTTCCTAGGAGTAAAATCCATTGTAATTAATGAGACTGACTTCTCAATAGCATGTATAAGATGCAATGCATATTTTGATGATCATCCCTTCCCATATTATTTTACAAAGCAATTTATAGATGTTCTTTCCTTCTAAAGGAAATGAAATTCTTAAACATACCAGATATCTATTCAATTTATTTGTATAGGAATGTGATTTCTGGCACATTATGGATAAGCAGATGGAAACGACATTAACAGTTCAGAAACAAAGTGGATCATATGCAACTTCAGAGAGAAGTTCAGAAGTTCAGTGGAGTTTCACTGCATTGAACTCTACCTAACTAAAAAGTATGGTGGACTTAAATTCCCATAACTCAACCAAACACAGATTTATCATTGGACATATTGGCTGGGGATTATGGGAGTTGAAAGGCCACAAATCTAGAGGCCATTAAATTGGAGAAGGTTGCTCTGCAGTCTTCAAAACCTGTTTCTCTTTCTCTTTAGCTTTCAGAATGATCCCTTATCCTTTGGAAAAAGGGCACCTTTTTTATCCTTATCCCATTTGTACAGAAACAGCAGATAGAGAACTTCTTCCATGTAAGTTTGAAAGTTTTCTGGTTTTGTCTCCAAGTAAGCAAGAATAAGCAATTTGTCTATGACTGGTCTCACAAGCAAGGAAGGTTTCTGCTATAAAGGTTTTTCCAGTTAATCTCAGAATGGAATACAGTGGAACCTCGGTTTACGAACTTAATTCATTCCGTGACTCTGGTTGCAACCTGAATTGGTCACAACCCGAAGGAAATTTCCCCATAAGGTTCAATGTAAT